ACAAAAATAAAAGTAAATTTAAATCAAGTTCTCATTTCTGGAAAATGTTTCATCTTATAAGATTTATACGTGTATAGAAATATTGCTTCACTTGGTGTGTGCTATTCAACTAGCAATAAAGTCCGTAATAAGAAGTGCCACATGGTTTCTTAAGATGTCTTATTTATCATTTTATATATTCGAATATTCTCTCATGGATAAAGTGTATGTACACTTTTATCATCGCCACTCATAGAAAAGGGATTTTTTTTCTTTATCAACTTCTTTAATAGTATTCCTCTTCGAATACTTTATAATACTATAAGAATACTAAAAATAGATTTGAATACCGCATTCAAAAATTTTTAATTTTTTATACGAAAATTAGAGTTTTAAATTCTTTTTTCTAATTTTGGAATTGTTGTGATACTGTTTGGTAATTTTTGCACTGTTGTATTGCTATTTTGTGATTCCCCTGGTTTTTTTGGTTCGAATTTTTAAATTGTTCGGATCTTTCTCAATGCAATTAAATGCCATTTAGTTTCAATTGACACAAGTCTATGAATTGAGATCTGTAATTTAATAATCCATTGGGTTCGTTTAGGAATAACTTCTTTAATAACCAAATACTTGAAGTCGTCTTAAAAAGTATTGGGTTATGCTCTTCCATTAAACATTTAGTTCTCATTTATTCTTAGAAATAAGAACAAAATTCCAGTTATCCAGTTAGCAATATAAATTTACAAAACCTCTATTTTAGAAAAAATTTTCAAATCAAAAATTTCTACTTTAAGAAAACTATTTTCAACAACGGTATACTTTTCAATATTCTGAAACGGGTTTTTCCATTTCTTTTTTCTTTTTTTTTTTTTGCAAAAAATAATGGAATAAAATAGCACTTGCAAATTCAAAACGTGTATAGCAATTTCTTCGCACAGATCAGATAGTAAAATGATATGCAAATCATGTCTGGAACTTGGAACCAAGGAAGTACGTAACATGATGTTAAAGAACTCTTCATCGAGATGAGAATGAACCGTACAAGAGGTGCAAACTTTGTGTTTAGAGAGAGGAGAAGAAGAAAAAATATTTTATTCACGGTACCGGACATTGAAAAATTGTCACGGTAATGGCTATTAGTGGCTAGTGATTAGTGAAAAACAAAATTCGTTTAGAAAATATATATTTTTGGAAAAAAAATTTATTCAAAATGGGTCAACAAGGATCTAAGGGGAGGACCACGAGTCTTCGGAATGATTTTGTCAGGGATTCGAAAATGCGACTTGGCAGCTTTAAAAGAGGTACGATATATGGTTCCATTATTATAGGAAATAGAAATAAAAATCTTAAATTCGTAAAAAGATACAATATTTTTGTTAATTTAATAACCGCACTTGTGAAATTTTATCACTTGTCCCATCACTTTTGTCACTGTCTTGTTCTATAAAATATTTATTTTTTTATTGTAAATTATTTTTTTGAGGAAGTTTTCGTTAACTCCTCGCTCTCAAAAAGAGGTTTAGGTGAGAATTTTTAAAATTATTCCAAAAATACTTAATATTTGATGTCGAATGACATTTTTTTACATTTGAGTATTTTAAATAATCGCGCCAATTTCTATCAATAGAGAGATTAGAGTGGCGCATGCGCAGTTACTAGCAGTGTCGACCGAAGAAGAAAAATGATCGTAATTTATTATCGCATTTTATTACCATTATTATTCGTGTTGTACATTTAATTTTTATGAAATCGAAACTAATATTTATTGACGATTTTAAATTCAATTGAAATTTAAATAATTTCCTTCGTGAGAGTCAATCTTTTCTTCAGTTCAAAAGTAAAAAAAAAACATAACCTACAATTTTTTGCTTCGAGTACCTTTTTGAGTCAAGTATTAAAATTCATTAGTTCATATTTCTTTCTTCACCTGCTAATAAATTGAATTCTTTCAACGAATTTTATTATTCAAGAAAGAATTCAAATATTTATAAAAATAATTTAATTCTTACGAAGAATTTTATACAAATTTTTCAAAAATAATTCAATTCTCTCGACTAATTTTATGCAAATTCTAATTTGAATTAAATTCCCAAATAATTAAATTCCTGGGAAATTCAATTCATTTTTATTATTCATGAGAAGAATTGAATTTACAAACAGTGGAAAAGTGATTATTAAAAAAATAACCTGGCGCTAAAAAAATATTTTCTTTACTCGAAAAAAAAAAATGAAAAAAGTGGAGAAAAGGAAGAAAAAAAATTGAAAAACGAAGAAAATAGACTGAAATGAGGAAAAATGGATATTATACACATTTAGCGAGTGTATAATCTGTATGGAATTTATCAAAAGACTGGGCAGAATTAGCGATATAGAAATAATATGAAATTGAGACTACCCCTCGCACAACACAGCACGTGTGTGGAACTTAATATAGAGTCCAACGATCCTCTCGGTCCGAACACGTGGAAGGACTGGTCGAAAGCAGTTGACCCAGATTTTGTTCCTTCTTCAGAATCGACTCTCGTATTATGTAGCATAAATATATATACGTCTATAGGTATTGCAAAATATGTTCAACATGTTCTTTCCATTTTTTTTTTTTTTTTTTTTTTATTGCCCGGCTTCTTCAGAAGGACCCGCAATTGACACTTGATGAGTTGAAATAGTTTTTTTTTACTTTCTTTGGATCCAATTTTGGAATTTTGAAATTTTTATATTTAAAGTGAAAATTTTTTATTTTATCGTTTTTTTATATAATGTAAAATTAAATTTTATTCTTTTTTTTATTTTATGTAAAAAAATATTTTTCTTCTCGTCATGACATTGCTTTATTCAATTTATAGGTGTATATATATATATCGATAAAAATAGAAATGCTGGAACGCAAATAACTTTAGAATTAGAACGTTAAAAGGAGAAATGAGACGCGAAGACTTAAAATTGTCGTCTACGACAGTTGAGTGGAGGCAATTTTCAAGGTTCATTTTCGAAGAATGGGATAAATTATAATTGAAATTAGGTGGGAAATTTTGATTCAAAAATTGATTTCCTCTTCGTCGAATAATTTATCTACTATTTTAGTTGCAAGTTTAGTTTAGTTTACTATTTGGTTTTATTATTATCTATTTTAATTTTACTATTTTTTTTGTTTTATATAGAATTTTTTTATTATACAGTGAAACCTGTCGGAATGCAACTAGATTTTTAAAAATTTGATCACGTACAGTAAACAATTTTTCAAAAAATTGTTTTATAATTTAATTAATTTGTAATATTTTTTACAATATTCTGGAACTAATTGAAAACAATTCTTGTTGGATATTTTTGAATATAAAAAAAAAATTTTTAGGTTTGCATTCTGACAGGTTCGACTGTATAGAATTTTTTTTATATAAAATATTTTCTATTCATTTTTAATTGTTCTTTTAATTAATTAATTTATTTTTTTTAAATTAGGAGTGTGATGAAAAGTAAAAATTTTAGGCGTAGGAAAAAAATACGTAAAAAAAAGTTAATACAATACGTTGGAGTAAAATAAAAAAAAAATAATAAATAAATAACTAATTTCTTGTTGAGATGGGATATAAATTAATTATACAATTTTGTAATTATTCAATACAGTGAGACTCTTGTCTTTTTATTTATAAGCACCTACGAAGGTGTGTTCACCAAAAATTTACACAGTCATTGATTTCAATTTAGTTGTCCTTAATAGGTTATTGTTCTTTTTCATCTCTCTCTTTCTCTGCCTTTGAAAATTGAATTTAATTAAGGTTGACAATAAAAATTTTATACTTGAGTGAACTTCAAATTTTGTTTAAAAAACTTTAAATTTAAATCACTAAAAAATAAATTTTACATTTTTTTACATTTTTTTTTACATTTTTACAGCTATTTTATTTTTTCTATTTACTTTTAAGATATTTATTTGCTTACTTTTACTAATTATATTTTATGAATGTTTATTTTTTTAAAATTAATTTTGAAAAAATTCTATGAAAAAGAAATTTTTTTGGAGTTTATTCGATAATTAATATTAATTCATTTAAAAGGTTAGTTAGTTGATGTAACTTTCAATGGAATTGAATTTTTTTTTTGTTTTTATTAATTGAAAGTATTTATTGAAGCGTTATTAATGAGGAAAAGGAGGAATTTCTAAATATAGGAATTGCAAATAGAAAAGGGTCATCGATCCTTCCACCTATCTTGAAAATGGAACTAAAAGGGTGGGGCTTTCGCGATTCAAATATTTGTAACGGGGATAAATTTTTACCTTCTCTGAATATTTAAAAAAAAATTTTTTTTTTAACTGGAAATAAATTTTTTTTCATTTATTTAAATAAAAACTCAATTTTAATATTATTATTATTTTTTTATTATAATTGTTATTAATATTACTATTTTTATTATCATTATCATTACTATTTTTATTTTACTATTATTTTTATTATCCTTATTACTACTTTTTTATTTTCTGCTTCTTATTATTATCATTATTATTAATTTTTAACAACAGAATTTGTTAATTTAAATTTTTTTTTTAATTAAGAAATGTAACAGAAAAATTCTAATTTCTTCCCCCAACGGGAATCGAACCCCGGACTTTAGTGGCTCGAATTATACTCTTAGACCACACAGCTACGTTGAATTCTTAGAGGCACGAAAAAATTTAATGAGAATTACAGTTTAAAACTAAAATAATAATAATTTTAATATAATAATTATAATTAATAATAATAATAATAATAATAATAATAATAATAATAATAATAATAATAATAATAATAATTTAATAATAATGAAGAATTATTTAAACAAATTAGAATTACAAAAATTATTCACTACATTAAGTTTCGCTATAAATATTTTCTATAATTATTATTCGAATATTAATTATTTAAATAAAAGTATAATATAAATTGTATTTTATAAATAAAAAAAAACAGTATGAAAATAATCGTATTCGTTGATTAGTTCTGCGACAAAAAAATAATATAAAAATATTTGTTTTTATTTTTCAGAGAGATCACCGCCAACGAATAATCAAACGAGGAGACAAGTAAATGGAAGAAGTAATCAGGTTTCACGTACAAATAGTTATGAAGCAAAGAAAACGTGTCTCGATCCTCCAACTATTAATTTGGGTAAGTTTTTTTTTCATAAAAATAAATAAATATTAATGTAAAATAAATGCCAATTAATTTAAATAATATATTTATTATATTATTTAAATATTATTATTTAAAAATAAAATATTAATTTTATATAATTAAAAATATTAATTAATACAAAATATTAATTTAAATATATAATATTGTAATATAATTATAATATAATATAATAAATATTATATAAATATAATAATAATATTATATTATTATATAAAAAGTAAAATTACATAAATTTTTTTTATTTCAAATTCTATATTTGGAAAATTTGATTTTGGAGGGGGATGGGGGAAGCATAAATATGAAATATTCAATTATTTTTGCAAAATAATCTTATTCACAGTAGACAGAATGTGTTTATTCGCATAAAGCTGGTCAGTTGTAACGGGTAACTAACCGGAAGTATATGGTCTCCAGCCGTCTAACGTCCCCTCTTTTCGTCGAAGCCATTAAGCATATAAACAATTACACTTGTCTGTTTAATTATTTTCAACATCAAATTCGATTTATTTTTTTAAACAAGTTTTTCGCCCTTTTTTTCCTTTTTCGTTCTTTCTCCTTTCTTCAAGGTTACGTCTCTTCTTTTCTATATAATCAAAATCCATTTTTAGGATATATTTTTCAAAAAAAAATTTTTATCCTATTTTTTTATTTTTTGTTTTCTATATTTAAATATTTATTATTTTTCATTATAAAATTTATTTTTTTAAAAAAAGAATGTTATTTTCCCCCTTTTTGTAAGAGTATACTCTTTTGTAAGTCAGTTTATTTTATTATTAAGAAACAAAGAAAAATTATTTTGCCATAAAATATAAATTTTTTGTCTTTTTTTTTTTTTTTTTTTTTTTTTTTTTTTTTTAAGATAGAGAATTATTTATAGAATTTTCTCATATATTATATAGTTTGTATTTCATTAGGCATCGTCTATATGTATTCATAAAAAGCTTAATTTAATAACCTTTCTAAATTTAAACGCTTTTATTTTCTTAAAAGTCGTGAAATTTATATGATTCTTAATTTAAAAGCTGACTAATTTTAGTTTTCTCGCAGCAATAATATAAGGGAAAATTTATTTTATTACCTTTTATTCTTGAATCATTTAATCAATTTTTTTTTCCTTCATAAAAAAATTAATTTAGTTAAAAAATATTGTTTTACTCTGATGTGGAAAAAATTATTATTATTATTATTATTACTACTATTATTAATTTTTAACAACAGTATTTTTTACAATATTTTCTAGCTCATATTTTTGAAATTAAAAAATGTAACAGAAAAATTAAAATTTCTCCCTCCAAGGGGACTCGAACCCCGGATTCTAATGATGCAAATCTTACACTCAGACCGCACAGCTACGCCGCATTCATAAAATATTATTTATTATTATCTAAAAAGTATAATATAAAAACAGTAGTAATAAGAATAATAATAATAATATTAATAATTATAAATAGTAATTATTATCAACAAATATTATTTATTAATAAAAAATAATAACAATATTAAAAATGAAATAATAATAATAATAATAATAATAATAATAATAATAATAATAATAAAATAATAATAAAAATAAATAATAATAATGATAACAGCAGTAGTAATAGTATAAAAAGGAGAAAAAAATTTGACCGGCAGATTTTATGAACACCTTGGAAAAATCGAGAAAAATTTATTACAGATTCTATTAAAATCTCTATTGAAAAGTAAATAAAATGACTACCTGGCAGGGAAGGAGACGCACATTGTCATTTCTACAGCACCTGGTGTTAGGTATTCAAAAATGTCGCTCGTATCCTTTCTTCTCCTTTTTATTGTTCACACTCAGTCGCCAAAAGGAAAATCCCACTTTAGAACGATATTTACTTTTATCAATTGCCATGTCTACCAGCATTTTTATCCAATTTTTTCTTTTTCTATTTTTATTATAAAAATTTCAATATTAATTCTTTTATAATACTCAAAATATTAATATTGAATTAATATAATTTTTTCAAAATTAAAAAGTAATAAATAATATAAAAAAAGTAAAATTTAAAATAAAAAAAAATAAAATTATATTGTTTTCTAAATAAATAAATAAATAAATTAATTAATTAATTAAGGGCATTTGAACCATTATGCCCTTAAAAGTAGAGTTGAAAAATAAAATAAATAATAAATGATAAAAAATAATATAAAAATAAATAATTAAAATTAATTATTAATTACAGAAAAAAATTTTGTTAAAACCAAAATATAACTTTTCGATTTTTTAAGTGACTATATATAAAAAGACAAAAAAACAAAAACAAAATTGAAACAAATTATTTAAACCTTGTGCGTCAAGTAAAGTTGCAAAAGTAGGTTCTCAAGAGGGATTCATTTAGATAAAGAAAAAAAAACTATTCGTGACAGTGCATTAGCATTTCCGTGAAGGTGAAATCTTTATTGTTCTCTCTTTAAAATAGTGTCGAGTTTACACTCTTTTTTTCGCCTCCCATATCTAACGGAACGGAAATTTTCAATTTTCAATAATAGTTATTAACCATTAAATTACTGCGGTTTAAATTAAATTTTTAAGAAAAATGAGAGAAATCATTTCTTTTTTTTCTTTTAAAATTTTTATGTCAGCAAAAAAGCGTTTAACGAGAAATATTATTGAGAAACTTTAATTATTTTTCGGGGTGAAATTTTAATATAATTTCTTCAGTAAATGTCTCTATTTATTTTTTTTTCTTTTCTTTGTGGAAAAGGAAACTGCAAACTTTTTTTTAAATTACTATTTATAACATAAAATCGTAATTAAAACAAAGTTTGCAATTTCCTTCTCTAAACTATTTTTAATTCTAAAAAAATAAAACAATGAATTTTATTTTACTATTCATTGTTAATAATAATTATTATAATAAAAATAATAGTAAAACAATAATTATTTTTTTAAATTTGTTTATCCCATTCAAAGTCAATAAATAAATAAAATGTTTGATAATAGTAATTATTAGACTAACGATTTTTTTTTTTTTTTTTTTTTTTTTTTTAATTAATATACTATTTATTTATAACATTTATTATTTAATAAACAATAAAATATGTATTTGAATAGAATAAATTGAAATTGTTTTCGTTCAAAAGTGTAACACTTTTGAAAGTTTAAAAATAAAAAAGAAAATTTTTTTAAAGTAGAAATTGTAATTTTTTTTTGAAAAATAATTTTTCTACTTCTTTTTTTTCTTTAAAAATACATAACGAGACGAAATGTTTTACTGCTCGACGACCATAAGTACAGCAAATATACCCAAAAGGCAAATTTTTGAGGAGTTTGTTGACTTTAAATCGGTCGGGTCTCCACTTCCTATGGTTAAATGACCCCTCTTTTTTGGGGGGTTTACTGAGGTTGTTGCAAATGTTTGTCAGTCTGTTTCCATCTGTGGGATTTCTCGCACTAACAAGGAAAATTTCATTCCTTCACCATTTAAGAAATTTTTTTCCTGGCGTGTGAAAATTTTACACTTAATTGTTATTATATTGTTTAATCTGTGTGTGTGTGAATTTATTGGGGATTTTCTAGTTATTAATGAAAATTTAACATCCAAGGTATAATTTAATTAATTAGTAATTAGTATTTTATATTATTATTTTTATTATTATAAAAAATATGTATTTTATTGAATAGAATAAATTAAAAGTTTTTTCCTTCAAAAATGTAAAACTTTTGAAAGTTTAAAATTAAAAAAAAATTTTAAAAGTAGAAATTTTAATTTTTGGTCTGAAAAATAATTTTTTTTTGTTTTTTTATATAAAAGTTTATACAAAGAGACAATGAAAAAAATGTATTCGATTCAAAGAAACAATTATACTTGTCGATTGTCAAATAAATATTTATTTGTACCAAATAATTTCTTATTAAATGTTATTTGCTTTAAATACTAAAATTATTTTGGTTCAATTAAAATTTATTTGATTGGAATACAAAATTACTTAAATGTTAATAGAAATAAACATGTGATTGATATTTTTTTTATATTTAAATTTAAAAAAAAAATTTTTACTATATTTACATTAAATTTAAAAATTTTAACTAAATTACTTTTTTTTTTGCAGAAAAAAGTCCATCGGCAACTAGAAAGGTTCCAATTGTACGACGAGCAGCGACAATCATCCCAAATAAACAAAAAAGTTCTTCTTCTATTAAAGGTATTTATAAAAAATTTTTTTTTTTAATTATTTAGGATTTACATTAGGTATTCAGTTAAATAAATAATGGATTAAATAATTAGTTTTTTTTGTTCTTGTAATCGAAAAGGCAGAATATTTTATTTTGAGTTTTTAAATTATGAAATTTCATGAAGGATCCTATATAATTATATTATAATATATATAATTTATAATATTTATAATTATAATTTATTATTATTAATAAATAATTAAATATTATTTTTTAAATAAATAAATATTAAAATTATTATAATTATCGTTTGCTTATGGAAAACAAAAGGAAATTGCTATGATGATAAAAAGTAAATATTTTAATATCGAAAATTTTATTCGAAAATGATAATAATTATAAAAAAAGTAGTCTCTATAAAGAAAAATAAAAATAATTTAGAGAGTTAAATTTTAGCATGCTTTTAGATTTTATAATATATAGATCTCAGCTTTCTATTCAAAGCTTGTAAATGTATATACATAGTTAATTTTAGATTTAGTCAAATACACTTCTATTTAACTTCATTTACACAGTGTATTAAGTATTTTAACGATGTTTTAAATTTTAAAGGGAAATTCCATTTTTTTTCCTTTAGTCAATTAAAAAATAGTTTACATTTTCTATCGTTTTTGTTCTATTCTTATTTTAAATGCATACCTATAGACTCGAGTTTCTCTACAATTTTTCCAAAAAAATTTTAAATAAACATTTTTCTAAAAATATCTGTTTTTATTATTTTATATTCTATAAACAAACATATAATTTTAGAAAAATGTTTAAAAATTGTTTTAGAAAAAGAAAGAAATTCGAAAAAAGTGGATAAAAAAATAATTAAAAAAATTGCAGGTAGCAATACTTTCATTTATTTACTTAAATATAAGAAACAGACTTACAAAGCGATAAACATTTTCAATAAAATGATATTTACATAAAATATTCTATTTATTGTATATAATAATAATAATTATTAATATTATTATTTATGATATTAGTAATAATAATGATATAATAATTATAATTATTATAATATAATAATAATAATAATAATAATAATAATATAATATAATATAAGTAAAACATAAATATACATAAATAAAACCTTTATAGGTTTATAAAATAGAATAGGTTTTTATAAAATAGAATTTTAAAAAAATATTTTTGAAATTACATTTTTACTGTTTAAACTTTTAAAGAGATCGAAATAATCGAGAGATTGGCAATTTTTGATGACAATTGATTCAAATTATGGTATGAAATTTATTGTAATCTACACATCCTCTCTTATTTGCATAACTGTAAATATAATCTTCCTGTACTTTCTATGATGCATTAAATAAGAAGCAAAAAAAAAATATATATTTAATAATGAGTCAGCAAAATTTAATTCAATCTATAAAACAATTGTTATACTCAACCATCAAAACAAGAGTTTCTTTATTCTTTAAAATTATTTTTTGTCGCGTCTATTATATAAAAAAAAATTTTTTTTTTTATTTTATTTCTCAGGTGATTTGACATTAGAAGCCGAATTCGGCTAAAAGTTTTTTTAATTTATTTCGAATTAAAATTTTCGATTACTATTTCTATTGAATGAAATTTTTCCAAAAAGGAATTTTTCATTACGACGAACGAATTTGAATTTAGTAAGTCTACACTTTAGGCGAAATTTTTAAAAAAATAAGTTTCCCATAATATATGTTCTGTAGATAAGGTTGACAATTAATTTCTAAGGGAAATTATTATTATTATTATTATAAATATTCTTAAATATAAAACATAAATAAATATAATTTTGAAATTTATTTAATTGTTTTAATAGAAAAAAGGGCGAAAAATTGGAGACCTAATAGTCACGACGATGTAAAATAAAAAAAAATACTTGACAGGAAAAAAAATTTTTAAATCTTAACAGAATTTTCATCTCGATTTTCATTATCAGGTCAATTTTTCTATTTAAAGTAAAATATTTCCGTTTTCAAAAAAGAAAAGAATATTTAAAGAAGTTGTAAATTAAAACAAAAATCTGAAATCTTTTAAAATTCATTTTTTTTTTTTTTTTTTTTTGGGAAAACAAACTTTTTCTTTTTACGCATGAAATACGAATTCATTAAGTGATAAACGATCGTACTGTGATGGCGAGATGGGTATATTGTACAATCGGTCGAGACACGTATTTTTCCTCGTCGAATGGGAAATGCCTTTTGGGGATAATTAGGAATTCCCTAATTTTTCTTCTCCTCTAAAACTTAAGTGGCCGTTGAAGATCGGCTATGATGATAGGAAATAAGATTCTATACCTATATTATTTCACTATGGTCATAAATGCGTGCGTGTTTCGCCTAAAGCAGTAAGAAAGCCTGTTGAACTTTCACTATATATATATACTATATATTTTCTGAATTGAGTTTTCATTTGATTTAATGTCATAGTTTTCTCTCGTTTGGAATAAAAAGTAAAAAAGAGGAACAAGTTTATAGAAATTTTATTCCAAATCTGTCTCGAGAGTTTAATAAAAAGACGCACGCATTATTCAGGAAGTCTGTAATATATTTCCGAGTTAATAATAAGAGAAAGAAGAAATTTGTTAAGAAGTAAGTTTTTTCAGAAGCTTTAATTCATGATTTAAATTAATGCTTAATTTGTGTCGAAGAAAAAAAAAATTATCGAGTTTCCACTCTATGAACTATGGATAATGCAGATTTGTCATTTTTTGGCGGGAACTTTTAATTTGCGAAAAATTCGATTACTCGACTCTTATCAAGGAAACAATTTATTTGAATTAAATAATTTTTAGTTGAATTAAATAATGTTAAGTTGAATCAAATAATTTTTTAGTGGAATCAAATAAATATTTATTTGTAGAAAATAATTTTTAATTTAAGTGAATTAAATAGTAATTGCTTTAAATTTTAAAATTGTTGGTTCAAATAAACGATTACTTAACTACTATTAAGCAAATATTTACTTGAATCAAGTAAATATTTAATTTTTAAGTCAATTAAATAGCAAACTCTTTAAATATTGAAATTATTGTTTTAAATAAAATTTACTTGAATCAAGGAAATATTTATTTGATTCACATAAACCATTACTTTACTTAAATCAAGGAAATATTTACTTGAATCAAATAAATATTTAATTTAAGTTGCATTAAATATTGAAATTGTTGGTTCAAATATAAAATTTACTTGATTCAACTAAAAATTATTTGATTCAAGTAAATATTTACTTGAATAAAATAATTTACTTGAATCAAATAAATGTTTAATTTTTAAGTCAATCAAATAGTATAAACTCTTTAAATTTTGAATTTATTGTTTCAAATATAATTTACTTGATTGAACTCAAAATTATTTGTTTCAAATAAACAATTACTTTACTTGAATCAAAGAAATATTTACTTGAATCAAATAAATATTTAATTTAACCTAGTTAAATAGTAATTGCTTTAAGTATTGAAAATGTTGGTGTAAATAAATTTTATTTGATTCAACTAAAAATTATTTAATATAAAAAAAACGATCATTATATTTGAATCAAGCAAATATTTACTTGAATCAAATAATTTTTAGTTCAATAAAATAGTGTTAAGTTAAATAAAATAATTTTTAATTCAATCAAATAAATAATTATTTGTACAAAATATTTTTTAATTTAAGTCAATTAAGGAGTAATTCCTTTAAATTTTTGAAATTATTGATTCAAGGAAAATTTACTTGATTCAGCTATAAAATTTATTTGATTGAAATAAATGATTACTATATTCACTTGAATTACTAAAAAAATTTACTTGGATCAAATAAATATTTAATTTAAGTCAATGAAATAGTAATTGCTTTAAATATTAAAATTATTGGTTTAAATAAACAATTATTTTACTTGAATCAAGGTAATATTTACTCGATTCAAATAAACAATTACTTTACTTGAATCAAAGAAATATTTACTTGAATCAAGTTATTTAATTCAAGTAAGTTAAATAGTAATTTCTTTAAATATTTAAATTGTTGGTTCAAATAAAATTTTATTTGATTCAAATAAACAATTACTTTACTATTGAATCAAGGAAATATTTACTTGAATCAAATAATTTTCAGTTAAATCTAATAAATATTTATTTTTACCAAATAATATTTAATTTATGTCAATAAAATATTAATTGCGCTTTAAATATCGAAATGATTGATTCAAATATAAAATTTACTTGATTCAACTAAAAATTATTTGATTCAAGTAAATATTTACTTGATTCAAGTAAAGTAACCAAAGTTTTGAATCAAATGCAGTTTTTCCAATCTAATATAAAATAAAGTATAAATAAATAAATAAATAAATAAATAAATAAAATAAAGTAAATAAAAATAAAGTGAAGTAAAATATAAAATTAACAAGAATCAATTAAATAAAACAATCTTCATGGTTTTAGTTAAATTAAAATTTGAGTAAAATTTAAATACATGAATAAAAATTAAAATAAAATAAAAATTTAAATACATAAATAAAATTTTAAACAAAATAAAATTTTAAATACATAAATAAAATAAAAATTGAAATACATAAATAAAACTGAGAAAATAAATGTACAACTTTTTTCAAAAAAAGATCCTACTTTTTCCAGTGGGTAAGAAAAATTTCTGGGTAATTTGGCCTGTGTAATTAGCCACTGTTGGGTAGTTAGTGGAAAAAAGAGGGAAGGGGGGGAGGGTCGGTGGGTATGTCAAAGAAGAAAAGAGGGATAAGAATCGCGAAGGAAAAGCGTGGCTCGGTGCTAGGTGCTAATTCAGTTTCAGTTCGGTACGCATACATATAGTTGTTCGTCGAATGTTATGTTGTAAAACTAAACGCCATTACCTAGATATCGATTCAATTGGAATATTACTATAAAAATTAATGAAGTGAAATTGAAAATAAAATTCAGAAAAAAATTATTGCTCAATCAACTAACTAACATTTGCTGATATTTTTTTATAGTTTTTCTTTTTAATAGAGAAAATAAAGCGAAGAACGCAAATAATAATTCAAATGAAAAATTCTATTTCAATTTTTTTCCTCTGTTGATAGTTATTTTTTTATACGTGAAAAATTATAAGGATAAAATAATTAAAAATGTGAGTTGGTTTTAGTGATAAAATAAAAATTATTTTTAATTTTCAACTGTGAAATAAACGAAAAAAAAAGTTATTCTAAATTTTAAAGTGTAAAACAAAAAAAAAGTTATTTTGAATTTTAAACTGTAAAACAAACAAACATTTTAAAAATTATTAAAAAATTGTTATTGTAACAATTATAACAAATTATTGTTAAAAACAATTATTTTTAATTTTAAACTGCAAAACAAAGATAAATAAAAATGATTGGAATTTATTTAAATATGAATTCTATATAATATTTATAGTGCTTCAGTGACTTTAAAAAAGTTTAAATTATTTTTTATTATTAATGCTATAGAAGTAAATAAATTAAACTAAAGATGTAAATAAATAAAATAATAGAAATAATTAAATTAAATGATATAAATAAATAATTTAAATGATACAAATAAACAAATTAAACAATAGAAATAATTAAATTAAATGATAGAAATAAACAAATTTAACAATTGAAACAAATAAATTCAATGTTTGAAATAAATTTAATGATATGTAGAAATAAATAAATTTAGAGATCGAAATAAATACAAAAATTAAATGTATAATAATAATTAAAAAAAAAAAAAAAAAATTCTAGACATTAATTTACCTGTTCAGTGTTAAAATGAAAAATGTGTTGAGTTAGTCAGAAGTTATGGAAAATTTTCACCAAAAATTTAAAGAAGTGAATTTTATTTACTATTGCTGATGGGTCCCGTGCCATTAATTACAGATCGTGGACCAAAAGAAACTGCGTCACCAGAAACTAGAGAAAAAACTGCCCAGACTGATGCTGTGATTAACGAGAATTCTAGTATCAAGAGAGCTGAAAGTACAATTCAAGCTCTCTCAATTACCGTCAATTATCTTGCTAATGAGGTGAGTTTTTTTTCGTAAATGTTATTTAAATTTGTGTGTAAATAAACATTTTTGACAAAATTCAACATTTTTTATATATATAATTGAAAGTTTTCATATCAAAATCAAAATTTTTATTTGACTAAAAAGGTGCATCAATTCAAAATTTTTATATTCATTAAAAAAGTGTTATATTCATCAAATCAAAATTTTTATAATAAGAATAAAAAGTTGCTTCAAATTAAAATTTTTATAATTAAAAGTTGCATCAATTAAACTATTTTTATATTATTAAAAAGTTGCATCAATTTAAAATTTTTATAATTACAAAACATTCACCTATTCAACATTTTTATTTGATTAAAAACTTGCATCAATTTGAAATTTTTTATAATTAAAAAGTTACAGCAATTTAAAATTTAGATATATTATAAAAATTTATTAGCAAAATTTTTATTAATTAAAATTAACATGATTAAAAAAACCGAATTTCAAGTTTTAATTAATTAAAAATTCGTATAAATGAAAATTTATTAATAGTATAGTAAAAATTAATAGTAATTAGTAATATTTATAATAATATAGTACAAAATTAATAGTAATTAGTAAAAATTATAATATTATAGTAAACATTAATAGTAATTATTGTAATAATTAATAGTAATTAGTCAAAATTAATATTAATTAGTTTTATTAGTATTACTAGTATTAATTAGTGTTAATTACTATTAATTAGTGTAGTTTTTTCTAATTGTTTAAAATATCTTAAAATAATATCTGCTAAATAATTTATTATACAAACAGTTTTCATTTCTATTACGTTTTTTCTATTTTTAGTCGACTTTTATTTTTCAATTTATTTTTAAACTTTAATTTTTTTCTCATTTTTCTGTTAGATAAAAAAAGATTTGGATAAATAGATGAAAAAGTAAAAAAATTGATTTTATTTTTCCACTATTTTTAATTAAATATTGATAAAATAATTAAAGTGAATTTAAAATAATAATAATAATAATAATAATAATAATAAAATAATATTAATAATTGTTTATTTACTTAAATAATTAAAACTGAATTTAATTATTTTATTATAATATTTAATTAAAAATAGTGGAAGAATAAAAGCAAAGAGAGATCAATTTTGTTCAATTTTTCATCTATTTATCGAAATCTTTTTTTATCTAACAGAAAAATGAGAAAAAAAAATTAAAGTTTAAAAATAAACTGAAAAATAAAAGTTAACTAAAAATAGAAAAGAAATACAGTTTAATTATTTAAGTAAATAAATAATTAAATTTAGTTTCATTTTTGAAACAAATAAATAATTAAATTTAGTTTCATTATTGAAACAAATAAATAATTAAAGAAATTATTTAAACTAATAACTCGGTAAATAAATTATTTAATTATTCACTAAATATATTATTTAAATTAAAAAATAACGATAAATAATTGCATTAATTTAATTATTTACTTATTTTTCTTTAATTAATATTATTTTTCCTTCTTTCAATTAAATTTTATTTACTAACAGAATTGTATTTGTTTTAATTTATTTTATTCATTTTATTTATTTTATCATAAAAATAGTGAACGGAAAACATTTTTCAAAATTTATAGAAATATTTAAAATTATTAATTTAAAAATTATTTAAATACAGAATTTTCAATTTTATTTCTTCTTTTTTTTTTTAATATATGATAATTGCTCCACTTTCAATTGGAATTAGATTGATAGAAGTTGTCTTTGGAATTCAGGGAGATTTCATGAGGGAGTCATTCCATAGTTAATTTAAAAGGAAAAACTTTTGCAACAAGAATCACCAGAAATGGTGCTTTCAAGTTTTTCTCATTGCACATGAAGTACATATTCCATCTTAAGCGGAAAGAAAAAAAAATTGTTGTAGGTATTTTTCAATTTGAAGAATGAAAAAAAAAATTATTTTCATATAGATTTGAAAAAAATAGTTTTAAAAATAGTTAAAAAAAAAAAAAAAATTTTTTTGGGGGAAGAGGACAAAATTTATTTTGCACAAATGAGGAATAAAATAAAGAATAAATAAATATATTTATATAGTTGGTTGTGAAGAAAGGTGTAATTTCTCGAAAGAACGGGATTATTTTCACTTTCTACTTCCTCGTATATGCCAAAGCCAATTAAATCAAAAGCATAATTGTATTTACAGCTACTTTATTCCCTTGTTCTTCCTTAATTAAAGCACTTTGTGCGTATTATTCTTTACTTGCGAGAAAAAAAAAGAATACAGCAAACACTATAATTTGTTTGTTTAAGAAACCGAGAATAATCATTTGGTTTTGAACACTGAAAAATATTAAAGACGAAAAATAGAAAATATTTCTTTTGAAGTAAATTAATTTTATTTATTTGATTTTAATTCAATTATATAGTTTAAAATTTATTAGCTAATAATTTTCTTTAATTACTTTTTGTAATTTATAATTTAAAAATAACTGTTATGAACACTGAAGAAAGGTGTTAAAAAAAAGCAAACAATTTTAGGTTAGTTTTATTTTTTTTAATAAAAACACTCTGAATTTATATTCACTGATTAGAATAATTATAATAAAAACTGATTTTAGTGTTAATTATACAAAACCAAACAGTTGAATAAAAATTTCTATATTTATAAAAATAACCCTAACCTAACCTAAAATTTTTAGCTTCTCAAGCACCTTTCTTCAGTGCGCGAAATAATTAATTAATAACGGAAAAATAGTTTGAAACATACTTAAAATTATAATTATGAAAGATTAATTATGAAAATTATAATTGAAAATAAAATTATAAGTGAAAATTAAAAAATTGTTAACATAATTACAAAAATAGTGTTTATTTTAGAAATTTAAGTTTTATTAAATGTAAATTTTATAAAAGGTAAATTTAATTTAATTTAATTTTTTTTTAAGTAGAGAGAATAATTAATTTTTCCGTTTGACACTAAATCGAAATGATATACATTAATAATCATAACATGACTCAATGAATACATTGCCTTTATAATATGTAAACATTTTCCATAACGATAAACATCGTGAATTTATTATTAATTTATAAGTTATAAACTGAAATTAATTCACGGCCGTTCAAGTTCAATGCATTAAAAATTCTTCAAAACATTTCTCATTGTTATGATTTTTTTCGATTTTGTTTTTATGCAAATAGTGAACAAAAAAAAATCGAATATGAATTTAAAATTTAAAATTAATTTCTATCAAAAGTTTATATTTATGTTTCGATCACTGAAGAAAGGTACTTCTTCTTCTTTATAACTGAAGAAAGGTACCAAAGAAGCAAAAAATTTGAGGTTATGTTTGTAATTTTCAAAATCGATTTCGATTTAATATAAAACTATTGATGTTTAAGTTTTTATTATACAAAAAAAATTTGCTTCTTAGATACTTTTCTTCACTTATTTAATATTTGATTTTCTGAAAAAAAATGATTGTGAAGAAACGTTGGTTTTTTTTATTACCGAATGAAATTCTTTTTCAAAGTAAGCATGTAAAAGTTCAGAATATAGTTTCTTAATTTTTATCGTCAATTTTTCGAAACTTTACTTTTTTCAATATTTCGAAAAAGGGTCATTAAATCATTTGGGGATAGTAATTTATTCTTCATTCACTTTCTATTCATTTATCTTTATCTACTCTTTAACTATATATGGCAAAATTTCTTATCTCCTCTTTTCTAATAAACGTAAAGCAATTTAAAAAAAATAAAAAGAATTCTATTCAAAAAAATTCGGTTTGTAAACACATTTTGTTCAAAAGTATAAATTATGTTTAAAAAAAAATTCTGCATTTAAATTTTACAGTTTAAAATAAGTAAATTTTTTTTCTAGCTTGACGGATTCTCTTCGCTGAGGTGGAGAAGAAATTACGAAATGATGAAGACGAAGTGGATATCTGCAAATGAAAATGTCGAAAGTTTAAGGAGCAGACACATGGCTATTGAACAATCAATAGAAGAAAATAAAGAAGAACACCGAAGAGCCTTGGAGAGACTACAAGAAAATTGTAAGTTTACAATTTTTTCGAAAAATTTTCTAAAATAAAAAAGAAGCTATTTCTTCACCTTTCAATATTGAGTTCACAAACATTTAACTAAATCATTTCCTTTAAAAACAAAATAAAATCTCTTCTTTCTTCATTGTTTAGTTACATTGACAAAATCTTGAAAAGCTGTTTCAATACAGCATAAAATTATTCAGTGAAGAAATATGAAGTAGTTTTAAATTTAGGCTAAATTCTTCGAAATTTTTTTCCATATTCGTAATTTTATAAAGGAATAAATAAATAAACAAACAAATAACTAAACAAATAAATAAACAAAATGGACCCTTTTTAGTTTTTACTTTATTTAAATATAATAATAATTTTTATTTTTATTATTTTTAATAATTTTTATTATTATTTTTAATAATTATTATTATTATTTTTAATAATTTTTATTTTTATTATTTTTAATAATTTATATTTCCATTATTTATAATAATAATTATAAGATTTGAAGAGCAGGTTGAGTTGCTTAATTAACATAATAATGAACGAGATGCGATTGTTGCGAACGAAACGATTATTTTCAGCCAAGAGACCACTGGAACCTTGAAGGAAATTTTTTTTTTTATTAAAAATAGAAACGTTTATGTTCCCAAACTACATTTGGCAGTACGATTAAAATCCACGACTCGTAAACTTGTATGCTAAAATATCACCTGTTTGAGTCAATGTTTGCAAACTCTACGCCACTGATACTTTAACGACAGGTGCAAGTTCTTTCGATCGCGCATCTGCTCGCTATATAGTTTTTTAAATTAATCTCCTACTCTTCAAGTTCTTTGAAAAATTATACGGTAAATATACGCAAATTAATATCAAATTCGAAAATTTTTAAAAGTACAAAACAAATCTATTTTCCATCATTTTTTTCACTAAAATAATTTTTCTTTATTTTTTTTTATTTTGAATAAATTTTAATAAAATATTTTAATAACTGAATATACATTTCGTTTTCTATGCATATTCAGTGCGTAAACTAAACACTTTAGGCAAAAAGGAGAGATTTTACATTTGTTTTGGAAGTGTTCCAACGATTTGTTTAATTCGATTCGCGTATAGTAGAGCGTTCGACCTAAATAGAAGGATGTTTAGTGAAAGGACTTTTTTCAGAGCGATAAATATTTCCTAAAACTCATTAGCGAATTTTCGTTAATAGTCATATTATCCTACTAGTCACGTTTTTGAAATTTTTAATTTTAGAAAACTGGAATATTGAAATATTTGTTATTTTCGAATTTTATGGTGTTTTTTTGGGGGTTTATTTCAAAGTGACTGGGATCGGTTCAAAGAATAAGGGTTCAAATTGAAAAACTGAAAAATTTTCTTTTAACGGTTATAGAATGTTGATTGGATTTTTTGTTTTTTGTTTCACAGTGGATATCCAACACGCGGAACACATCAAAGGTTTGGAGCAAGCAATGCGTGAAGAGCGAGCTTTGTTTGAAAGTCGACTCCAGGAGACGGTCAGGGAAAATCGTGCGACTATCGCCAGGTTACAGGCCGAGCATGAAATAGAGCTTACCCGTATAAAAGAGGATGAGACTGATAATAGACGAATATTCGTTCATGATCAAGGTGCTGTTTTACAGGCCGAAGCCGATTCTTTGCGAACTGTTCTCGAACTCAAGAGCAAGGAAATTACCGGACTAAGATCGGAGAACGATTTTCTAAGGTTTGTTCTTACTTTCATTAAATTTTTCATCTCTAATCGAATCTTTAGATTAATTTATTATTTTAATGCGGAAATAGCGTTTATTTTTTGAAATTTAGTGCAAAAGCGAAAGTTAAGATTTAAATTTCCCGCCTAAAGAAGAATTCGAATTTATACACTGTCGGTAAAGTAGGCAACTTTCAGAGTCAGGGTTACCACGCTTTTGCTCTTTTAAATTTAAATTTCTCCGAATTTTTTAATTTTTGAAAAGAATTGAATTCTTGGGAAGAATTTTATTAAAATTTCCTAAATAATTGAACTGATTCGGAAAATTTTATTTTTTACGAAAATAATTGAATTGTTTCGAAGATTTTTCTAATAATTTTAATAATAATTGCATTCCAAAATTCAATAAATTTGAAATTCTAAATTTATTAAATCTACTGACGTTTTATTAACACTGTTTAACACCATCTTTCGGTCTAAAGTAGAATACCTCGCCTTACTTTGGGATCCAGTGTTTGATGTTGAGATTAATTTACTCGAGAAATTACAGAAACGTTTTTTGAAATATTGTAGTTTTCGCAAGTACGGAGTTTATCCGCCAAGAGGTTCAGACTACATTGACCTATGTACTAATTTTGACGTCCTGACTTTGAATGAAAGACGCATTGTTTCTAAATGTAAATTTATTTACAATTTATTAAATTCTCAAATTGATTGCCCTTTCTTACTAAGTATAATATAAACCTTAAAATCCCACGTCTTACCTCTAGGTCATGGTATCCTTTTTATTTGCGAAAGCCTACAAGACCAATTGGTTATATGTCTCCGATGTATAGAATGTGTAAAACCATTAACGATATATTTGAATGTAGCGATACTGATTTCGACACTTTTAGTTTAAATGCTTTAACTTTCAAACGTAATATTATTTCACGCATCATAGCCCTGCGACCATAATTAAATTTGTATTTTGATTTTTTTCTCTAATTCCTTTATCATTTTTGTTTTCTTTTGTTCCTCATCTCTTCGCCTACTTTTGTTTCTTTGATAATTGCACACATTTTTCATTTATTTTATACATACTCCCTTCTTTTTTTTGTATTATTATACATGAACAGGTATTACTTTAATTTGTAGTGCCTATAATGGTTTACCTATGGCTGTTTTTTTTGTTCAAATAAAAAAAAATCAAAATTCATGATATAAGAATTCAAAATTTTTCAAAAATTCCCGTTAAGAATTTTAATAATATTCTTGTCAAAATTTCAATTATTTAAACAAAATTTTATTAAAATTCTTCGCATGAATTCAAGTATTTTCATAAATTATTATTTAAATTCTTCTCAGGAATTCAATTATTTTAAAATTTTCTAATAAAATTCTTCAAAGTTTTCAATTATTTTCAAAAATTGTTATAACATTCTTTAATATAATAAATTTCAGTAAAATTTTAAGTAAATTCTTAAAAAAAAAATTATTTTCAAAAGTTGTTAATTTTCTTTGTAAAAATTAAATTCTAAGAAACATTCAATTTATTGAATAAATTATTTATTTTCGTATTTAAATAATATTGAATTCTCGTAGAATTTTCTATAATAAAAATTTATTTAAAAATTAATAATTTGAGTAAAAAAAACAAAATAAAATTTTTGTGGCAACCCTGATGTTTTTTTAATTAAGTTACAACCAAGAAAACTAGAGACTCTTCATGGTTACAACCAATAACAGGACTACAAAATAAAACAGTAATTTTACTATCAAAGGTAATGCAATTTCGTAGATTATAAGTCTTTACAAAATTGGAAATAAGAAAGAAAATAATTATGTACCATGGAAAGTAGAGTGAACAAATCGAATGAATTCTTTGAGAGATGAATTAAATAAATCTATACTAGATTGAGAATCAGAAACAGCATTGTTATAATGAATACATATTCGTTGCATTACTGAATTACGTAAATAGTCTGTTCTGACTAGTCATGTAACTTACCATTCAAATCATTAATTAACTATAATTAAACTTTTAATGAAATAATAATTAAATAATTGTCAAAATATTCCTGAATTATATTCACGATGTGAGCGAAGTGAAGCGAAACAATCGCAGTGAGACGAAACACAGCTGACTGAATAGCAGGGATGGGAAGGTGACGTAAAGTACAAGGTTAAGGCCAATGCACAATAGGTTCGCGAACGAGATGCATGAGATAGAAAAGGACACAAACATACCTCTGTCCTTTTCTAACCTGAATAGCAGGGGTGGGAAGTTACGTAACGTGGAAAATTAAGGCCAATGCACAATAGGTTCGCGAACGAGACGCATGAGATAGAAAAGAACGCAAACATACCGCTGTCCTTTTCTAACTCATGCAGATTCTTTACCGTAGAAGAGTATCGATTACCAAGAAGCGATTTCTGCATTTTTTTGTTGTTTTTTCAAATTCTACAATAGAAAATAAATAAAAGAGCAATATTATGAATATTATTAATATTATTAATATTATTATTGTTATTAATATTATTAATGTTATTAATCTCAAAAAATTATTTGTTGTAGGCGAGAATTGGAAGGAAAACAAATGCTCGAGCAACGAGTCGAGTCCCTGGAGGCAAAATGCGAGGATTTAAAAGCACAATTACAAAGTAAGGAGATTTATGAGAGGCAAATATCACACGAGAATGAAGTATTACTTGATTCCTATCACGAGGCATCGAAGCACAATAAACGTTTAACTCAACGCAACGAGGAACTCCTCTGGAGGTTGAGACAACGAAACGAAGTGGTGAATGTTTTGGCAAATCAATTGGCAACACCACCGCAGAGACTCTCACGTTCACTGGGTCCCGAGCACATTGATCACACAATAACCGGGAGCAAAAGTCCCCAGTCATCGTCAATGGTGAAATATATTGTCGAGAAGGGCGATTCAATATCATGGACCGTGACAATGGACGAGTCCGCAGAACGTGCTACAGCGCCACGACGCAATAGCGTCTCAAGACAAAGTTCATTGAGACTCTCAATGCCACGTGGACAGACAACATCCTCAATGCGGACACGATCGAAAAGTGTCTCGGTGAGTGAGTCGAATAATGAGAATAATGCATGGACGCCGGCTTTTAATTCAACGCCATTGAGAAGAAGGCCCGGTAGTGTTTCACCCTCGGCGAATTCCGAGTCTGTCGAGGAGACGAGTTCTGGTCCAAGACCACAGGAAGCCGGTGGTGAGGCGATGATTTCCGAGGAGACATCGGCGTCGAGCAGCGAAGACGAATCATTCGCGAATGGCGATATTTCTCGACTGAGTATGGATTTTTGGGAAAAATCGGCCGAGTAAATCGTGCTTCTTACATTAAAAGTATTAGCATCCTTCCTGTTTTTTTTTTATTCAATTACAAAGACCATTTTTTTGAAAATCAGTTGTACATAATCGTTTATAAGTTTTTTGGTTTTTTTTTTGAATGATGCGCGCAATAGATTTATTGCTTTATAAATATTCAATTTTCCTCATTGTGTATAATGTAATCGAGGACCATTGAATAAATTCTCTTTCTCCCTTTCTCCTCTCTTCCTCTCTTTCTAAAAACTAAATAGATTTTGTCTCTTTCGACAAGTCATAATTTTTCTATGTATAAAGTTATTTTATTCGCTATAGACTTCTTAATTATAAAAGTCACTTTAATCTGTAAGGTAAAGTAAAAAAAGTAGTTATTAAAAAAAAACAATGCAAATTATTCTTCTTGCCATTTTTTTATTTACTATACCTCTCAAAACTTCCATTTCTAAGTTATGGAAAATATTGTCCTTAATTTTATATATATACATTTCGATGAAATGAAAATCAGTATCTTTTTGTCGGTTCGAGAAATTTTTTCTATTTTTTCTATTTTTAATATTTAAAATTTTAAATTAATTTTAACATTACAAAAATTATATATATTTTTAATAAATTGTCTCTTTAGGAGTGAGACGAAAATTTTGTTTAAACCAAAATATAAAAAACGAAAAGTGCTACTTTGTCTAATTATGGAAAAATTTAATTACGAATTAATGAAACAAAAAATTACGATCAACTAAGATTTTGATAGATTACCAGCCAAGGCTCCTGGTGGTAAGTGGACGAAGCAAAAAATACCATTGGTAAGAAAAGGATAGACGTATATTCGTCTTTTTCTAACCAATGGGATTTTTTAGTTTGTCAACTTGACACCGAATCCGAATCTAGATAAATTATTCCTAGCTATTAAATATACGGGAGAAAAAAAATCAATTTTCGGAATTAAATTCTTAATTTTACGAAGTACTGGAGTAAAAAAATATAATTTATATATATCTATATGAAATCACAAAAGAAGACAATCATAAACATTTTGTATCTTCTTTTTAACATGGTTGGAAAAGTATTTAAATATATTTATAAAAGAAGAGAGTTGAATTTCTTTGACCGTTTACAAAGTGTTTAATGTTTAATGTTTAATGTTTTTGTCTCTTTGGCGTATAACAAATTTTATTTATTTATTTTCTCTTTTGAGACTTTTGAAAAGTTGGATATCGAGTTTTCCTCGTTACCGCTGAAAGAAAAGAATTCATTAAACGTATTTTTTTGTTCTTAAAACTAATTTGAATGTTTTTTTTTTATTATTTACTAAATTAGACTATTTTATTTACAGACTTCGCACTCGATAATTAATTTTAAAAAAGTATCTTTCAAACTTAAAAAGAAGTAGCTATCGAAAAATTAAATTTGACGAATAAAAAAACTCCTTTAAGAAACTTTAGAAAACAGACAAAAATTCCATTCTATATTTTATTTTCCTGACTTTTTCCTAATTTTCATAAAAAATATTTACTTCTTTCTTATCCTGATGCTAAAAAATTGAATTCCCGCAACGAATTTTATTATTCATGAAAGAATTTTAATATTTATAAAAACAATTTAATTCTTGCGAAGAATTTTATAAAAAAATTTTAAATAATTTATTTCTTTCGACTAATTTTATGCAAATTCTAATTTAAATAATTAAATTCCTGAGACATTTTTATTAATTCATGAAAAGAATTGAATTCTTACGAAGATTTTTACAAAAAAGTTTTTAAATATTTGAATTTTATTTGGAAATTTTATGAAAATAGTTGATATTGAAAATCATTGAATAGTTTTTAAAAGTAATTAAATTTTACAAAGAATTCTATTAAAATTTTTGAGAATAATTGAATGTCTGTGTGGCAATTTATTAAATTTTTTTTGAAAATAATTGAATTCCTAAGAAGCATTTTATTATTTATGAAAATAATTAAATTCTTGCCAACGAATTTAATAGAATTTTTAAAAATAATTGAATTTCCAAGAAGAAATTTATTAATTTTAAAAATAATTGAATTCTTGTGATAAATATTGTTATTTATGAAAATAATTGAATTTTGACAAGAATTTTATTAAAATCTGAAAGAATAATTGAATTATTTCAAAAAAAGTTAATCAAAACTGTATTTAAAATAATTAATTTCTTTCCAACAATTTTATTAAAATAATAATTTAATATAATAATAATTTTATTTTATTAACATATTTGAAAATAATTGAATTCCCGTGGAAAATTATAATATTTTTGTAAATAATTGAATACTTCCAAAGAATTTTATTAGAATTTTTAAAAAATAATTGAATTCTTTCAAAGAATTCTATTAGAATTTTTGAAAATAATTGAATTCCTGTCAAGAATTTTATTATTTATCAAAATCATTAAATACTTTTAGAATTTTTAAAAATTATTTAATTCTTTTAAAGAATTTTATTAGATTTTTTAAAAATTAATTAAATTCTTGAGAAGAATTTTATTATTTTTATAATTGAATTATTAGGAAGTTTATTAATTTCTTTTAAATAATTGAATTCTTGGGTAGAATTTGATAAAAATTTCTGAAAATAATTTAATTCCTGCAAATAATCTTATTAACCGTGAAGATAATTAATTTTTTTTAAAAAATTAAATTTCCATGAAAAATATTATTATTAGTGAAAGTAATTGAATTATTGTGAAGAATTGTATAAAAATTTTGTTAAATAATTGATTTTTTTGAAATTTTTCTTTGAAAATACTTTTCTAAATTATAATTGAATTCCTGTGGAAATTTTATTATTTATTAAAGTAATTGAGTTTTTTCAATTTTTTTTTTAAATAATTGAATTCGTTTGCGAAATATTATGAAAATACTAGATATTGAAAATAATTGTGCTTCGAATATATTTTTTTAAAAATAATTTAATCGTTTTAAAGAATTTGATTATAACTTTTTGAGAATAGTTTTTTGATTTCTAGTATTAGCGAATTTAAAGTAAATTCTAAAAAAAACAGAAATAGTAGGTTTTTGTGGTTGAAATCTAAAAAAAAGTATCCAAATAGTAGCATAACGTAAAAAAAGTTGTAAATAGTAGGTTTTAGTAGATAAGTGCGAAGCCTGTATTTATAAAAAAGAAAAACTAGAAAAAAGTACTTTATTATTTTCCTTTTTATCTTTGATTTTCTCGAGAATCTCCTTTAAAAAATAGAAAAATATTCTAGTATTTTTGTTTCAGTTTTAAATTTAAATTTTAAAAATATTGCAAATAGTTTACCTATTCTTTCATTGACGAATTTCATACGTCGATTCCTGCTGTCCGGCGGAAGATTCTCGGTCATTTTCTCGATAAAATTGTCAATAACCAATGACCTCGTCATATTAATAATCGTTCTTCGACACACTGGACAGATATATCCCTCACTTTTCGTAAACCAAATCATAATGCAGTGATGGCAAAACGTATGCATACAATTCGTGGTCATAGCCTTCACAAATAATTCCGAACAAATGCTACAAGTTAGCTGGTCATCCATTATATTTTCAACTTTATTGAAAATCTCCCTATTCGCCTGTTCCACAAACGATGTTCGCGGAGTGTCTAATGTCAAATCAATTGTATCGAGGATATTTAATTTATTCGGAGTTCCACTGTGCGAGCCCTGCGCTAATTGAACGACAATCATGTTGTCCAGAAGATCGACCGGAGCTTCGATAACTGAAAAGAAAACAAGAAAAATAGATTAAAAACAAAAATAAAAAAAAAATAATAAAAAAACTGTAAAAAAAATAGTAAAAATAGTTTTTCTTTTTTTACTTCTTTTCTATTTTTAATTTTAAAAAAATAATTACTATTTTGTGGGGAAATCGCAACCGCCATTTCCTTTTGTTTCAGAGTCTCCTCCATTTCTTTGAGTTTTTGTTCCAAGAGATTTTTTTCAGTTAACAATTTATCCTGCGCATTTTTCTCCTCATTAACGACAGAATTCAATTTTGTCTTCCACTCCTCGTCCTGCTTTACTTTCCACTCTTCCATCTGCTCCCTTAAATTAACCTCAAGTATTTCTTTCTCCTGTTTACTTGCATTAAGCGCCTCCTCCCATTTTTGCTTTTCATCCGCTAATTTTTCCTCAAACAATTTCTTCTCCTCCTCAAGTCTATCGAGAAGATTTCGATATTTCCCATGTAAATCTTTTTCCACCTCATTGCCACTCTCAATTTTTTGCTCTAATATTTCAATTTGTTTATTAAGTTCCTGCGTTATTTCCTTCTCCTTTCGCAATCTTTCCAATTCTTCTTTTAGGGAATTTTGCTCACGTTGCTTTATTTGCAATTGATCCTCAAGTTCCTTTCTCTTCGCCTCTTGTTCATTCATAAATGTTTTTTGCTCATTAATAACGTCGTCCAATAATTTCTCCTCTAAACGCGGTCTCTTTGTTATTGGACCTGATTTTATATTTAGAGCGAAAACATATTTAAAATCCTCGTCGGGATTCAAATGAACAATGTCACCAACTTGTAGATTATGAATTTCATCTTTATTCAAGGGTTTATTATTTATGTAAATTGGATTAACTCCACTGCAATTTATTATTGACCATTGTTCATCGGCTGTGAATTTTACGATGCAATGTTGACGGGATATATTTATGTTTTTAAATATAAAATCACATTGAAGGCTTCGACCAATTGTAAACTGGAAAAAGAGAAAAATTTGTTAGAAAATTTAAATCAAAATAGAATTTATGAAATTTTCTGAAAATACTGAAATGTTTGCTTAGAATTTTATGAAATTTCTTTTTAAAAAACGGGTTTTTGTAGATTTTCTAAATATCACGATAAAAATAAAAATTTAGTTCGTTAATAAAGAACCTCGAGTATATTTTTGAAATTTACTTAAAAATTAACGGTTTTTTGTACGTAAATATCTCGATACGTTGGTATTTATTATCGTAAGATAAATTTCTCATTACCAATGCGAAAATTAAGAGGTCAATTTTCCAAGATTTTTATTATTAAATATTATTAGCTTGGTGTCTTGAAATTATTATTTAATTTAATTATTATTATAATTTCTAAAAGTTCCCAGGGAAAAGAAGGTTATGTTACACTTACCTCGTTCTTTGTTATGTGAATATCTTGAGTCGATTGAGAATCCTTATTTACACGCACTAAGACAGCTTCAAGATCTTGTGAAATTTCCCTTTTCTCAGCTTTACCCTCCATTTTTTCAAAATAACACCACTTGCATTTAAAAAGCCTTTTTTTTAAAAAAAAGGAAAAAATAAATCAATGTTTTCAAACAAAAACATTGACAATTCTTAAAACTAGCAATGATCATAAATTAACGATGAGAAGGTGAACTCGAAGTCGAAAGTAAACTCCAAAAGTGGGGGGTGATTTGCCCTTTAAACTAATTATAGTTCCACTAGTTAACAAGCGGAGCGCTCGAATCGAAAATTTTTTAAAAATGCAGTGCTGCTCAACTTTGACGACTTTTTAACAATTTTTTCTAATCTAGAATATTAATTCTATTGTTGTTCTGACCATTCTGACAGTTGGCTACGCGCCTCAAGTCATTTAATAAAAATAATAATATTTATTCTATTTATTCTAACAAAAGACATAAAAGCAAAACAAAAAATTCAAAGAGTCAAGGGGCTTGTATACCTCCTCCGTTCTAAGTATATCAGAAACGTCCAGCATTTTGATTGGCTATGCTCATAGAGAATTTCCAAAAAATTTAATGTTTTGGAAATTCTCTATGAGCATAGCCAATCAAAACGCTGGACGTTTCTGAATATACTCAGAACGCAGGAGGTAAACAAGCCCCTTCATTTGTAGGGCAAATTTTTTTGTCCATGAAATTTTTAAACATTGGTATCTTTTCTAAATTTCAATAAAATATATTTTTCTCTTTTTGTCCTTAAATTTTGGGCAAAAACAAACAACTTTTCCTTTAGACACTTTTCTGAAGAACAAAAATCAAAAAAGTTATCACACTAGTTCCAAAAAAGGACAAAAAAGTGTTATTTCTTCTCCATGAAATATTTAAACTTTGGTATCTTTTCTAAATTTTAATAAAATATGTTTTTCTCATTTTGTCCTTAAATTTTTGGCATAAACAAACAACTTTCCCCTTTGGCATTTTTCTGTACAACAAAAATCAAAAAAGTTATCACACTTTTCCCATAAAATGGACAAAAAAGTGTTATTTCTTTTCCATGAAATTTTTAAACATTGGTATCTTTTCTAAATTTTAATAAAATATATTTTTCTCTTTCTGTCCTTAAATTTTGGGCAAATACAAACAACTTTTCCTTTAGACACTTTTCTGTAGAACAAAAATCAAAAAAGTAATCACACCTTTCCCATAAAATGGAAAAAAAAGTGTGATTTCTTGTCCATTAAATTTTTAAACATTAGTATCTTTTCTAAATTTCAATAAAAAATGTTTTTCTCTTTTTGTCCTTAAATTTTGGGCAAAAACAAACAACTTTTCCTTTAGACACTTTCCTGTAAAACAAAAATCAAAAAAGTTATCAAACTAGTTCCAAAAAAGGACAAAAAAGTGTGATTTCTTGTCCATGAAATTTTTAAACTTTGGTATCTTTTCTAAATTTCAATAAAATATGTTTTTCTCTTTTTGTCCTTAAATTTTGGGCAAATACAAACAATTTTCCCCTTTGACACTTTTCTGTAGAACAAAAATCAAAAAAGTTATCACACTAGTTCCAAAAAAGGACAAAAAAGTTTGATTTCTTGTCCATGAAATTTTTAAACATTGGTATCTTTTCTAAATTTTAATAAAATATATTTTTCTCTTTCTGTCCTTAAATTTTGGGCAAAAACAAACAACTTTTCCTTTAGACACTTTTCTGTAGAACAAAAATCAAAAAAGTAATCACACCTTTCCCATAAAATGGACAAAAAAGTGTAATTTCTTGTCCATGAAATTTTTAAACATTGGTATCTTTTCTAAATTTTAATAAAATATATTTTTCTCTTTCTGTCCTTAAATTTTGGGCAAATACAAACAACTTTTCCTTTAGACACTTTTCTGTAGAACAAAAATCAAAAAAGTAATCACACCTTTCCCATAAAATGGACAAAAAAGTGTAATTTCTTGTCCATGAAATTTTTAAACATTGGTATCTTTTCTAAATTTCAATAAAAAATGTTTTTCTCTTTCTGTCCTTAAATTTTGGGCAAAAACAAACAACTTTTCCTTTAGACACTTTCCTGTAGAACAAAAATCAAAAAAGTTATCACACATTTCCCATAAAAAGGACAAAAAAGTGTGATTTCTTGTCCATGAAATTTTTAAACTTTGGTATCTTTTCTAAATTTCAATAAAACCTGTTTTTCTCTTTTTGTCCTTAAATTTTGGGCAAATACAAACAATTTTCCCCTTTGACACTTTTCTGTAGAACAAAAATCAAAAAAGTTATCACACTAGTTCCAAAAAAGGACAAAAAAGTTAGATTTCTTGTCCATGAAATTTTTAAACTTTGGTATCTTTTCTAAATTTCAAAAAAAAAATGTTTTTCTCTATTTGTCCTTAAATTTTAGGCAAATACAAACAACTTTCCCCTTTGGCATTTTTCTGTACAACAAAAATCAAAAAAGTTATCACACTTTTCCCATAAAATGGACAAAAAAGTGTTATTTCTTGTCCATGAAATTTTTAAACTTTGGTATCTTTTCTAAATTTTAATAAAATCGGTTTTTCTCTTTTTGACCTTAAATTTTGGGCAAAAACAAACAACTTTTCCTTTAGACACTTTCCTGTAGAACAAAAATCAAAAAAGTTATCACACCTTTCCCATAAAATGGACAAGAAGTGTTATTTCTTGTCCATGAAATTTTTAAACATTGGTATCTTTTCTAAATTTTAATAAAATATATTTTTCTCTTTCTGTCCTTAAATTTTGGGCAAATACAAACAACTTTTCCTTTAGACACTTTTCTGTAGAACAAAAATCAAAAAAGTAATCACACCTTTCCCATAAAATGGACAAAAAAGTGTGATTTCTTGTCCATGAAATTTTTAAACATTGGTATCTTTTCTAAATTTCAATAAAAAATGTTTTTCTCTTTTTGTCCTTAAATTTTGGGCAAATACAAACAATTTTCCCCTTTGACACTTTTCTGTAGAACAAAAATCAAAAAAGTTATCACACTAGTTCCAAAAAAGGACAAAAAAGTTTGATTTCTTGTCCATGAAATTTTTAAACTTTGGTATCTTTTCTAAATTTCAATAAAATATATTTTTCTCTTTTTGTCCTTAAATTTTAGGCAAATGCAAACAACTTTTCCTTTAGACACTTTTCTGTAGAACAAAAATCAAAAAAGTTATCACACCTTTCCCATAAAATGGACAAAAAAGTGTTATTTCTTGTCCATGAAATTTTTAAACTTTGGTATCTTTTCTAAATTTTAATAAAATCGGTTTTTCTCTTTTTGACCTTAAATTTTGGGCAAAAACAAACAACTTTTCCTTTAGACACTTTCCTGTAGAACAAAAATCAAAAAAGTTATCACACCTTTCCCATAAAATGGACAAGAAGTGTTATTTCTTGTCCATAAAATTTTTAAACATTGGTATCTTTTCTAAATTTTAATAAAATATATTTTTCTCTTTCTGTCCTTAAATTTTGGGCAAATACAAACAACTTTTCCTTTAGACACTTTTCTGTAGAACAAAATCAAAAAAGTAATCACACCTTTCCCATAAAATGGACAAAAAAGTGTGATTTCTTGTCCATGAAATTTTTAAACATTGGTATCTTTTCTAAATTTCAATAAAAATTGTTTTTCTCTTTTTGTCCTTAAATTTTGGCCAAAAACAAACAACTTTTCCTTTAGACACTTTCCTGTAGAACAAAAATCAATAAAGTTATCACACCTTTCCCATAAAATGGACAAAAAAGTGTTATTTCTTGTCCATGAAATTTTTAAACTTTGGTATCTTTCCAAGAGTTCAATAAAAAATGTTTTTCTCTTTTTGTCCTTAAATTTTGGGCAAAAACAAACAACTTTTCCTTTAGACACTTTCCTGTAGAACAAAAATCAAAAAAGTTATCACACATTTCCCATAAAAAGGACAAAAAAGTGTGATTTCTTGTCCATTAAATTTTTAAACATTGGTATCTTTTCTAAATTTTAATAAAATATATTTTTCTCTTTTTGTCCTTAAATTTTGGGCAAATACAAACAACTTTTCCTTTAGACACTTTTCTGTAGAACAAACATCAAAAAAGTTATCACACTAGTTCCAAAAAAGGACAAAAAAGTGTGATTTTTTGTCCATGCAATTTTTAAACTTTGGTATCTTTTCTAAATTTTAATAAAAAATGTTTTTTTTTTTGTCCTTAAATTTTGGGCAAATACAAACAACTTTTCCTTTAGACACTTTCCTGTAGAACAAAAATCAAAAAAGTTATCACACATTTCCCATAAAAAGGACAAAAAAGTGTGATTTCTTGTCCATGAAATTTTTAAACATTGGTATCTTTTCTAAATTTTAATAAAATCGGTTTTTCTCTTTCTGTTCTTAAATTTTGGGCAAATACAAACAACTTTTCCTTTAGACACTTTTCTGTAGAACAAAAATCAAAAAAGTAATCACACCTTTCCCATAAAATGGACAAAAAAGTGTGATTTCTTGTCCATGAAATTTTTAAACATTGGTATCTTTTCTAAATTTCAATAAAAAATGTTTTTCTCTTTTTGTCCTTAAATTTTGGGCAAATACAAACAATTTTCCCCTTTGACACTTTTCTGTAGAACAAAAATCAAAAAAGTTATCACACTAGTTCCAAAAAAGGACAAAAAAGTTTGATTTCTTGTCCATGAAATTTTTAAACTTTGGTATCTTTTCTAAATTTCAATGAAAAATGTTTTTCTCTATTTGTCCTTAAATTTTAGGCAAATACAAACAACTTTCCCCTTTGGCATTTTTCTGTACAACAAAAATCAAAAAAGTTATCACACTTTTCCCATAAAATGGACAAAAAAGTGTTATTTCTTGTCCATGAAATTTTTAAACATTGGTATCTTTTCTAAATTTCAATAAAAAATGTTTTTCTCTTTTTGTCCTTAAATTTTGGGCAAAAATAAACAACTTTTCCTTTAGACACTTTCCTGTAGAACAAAAATCAAAAAAGTTATCACACCTTTCCCATAAAATGGACAAAAAGTGTTATTTCTTGTCCATGAAATTTTTAAACATTGGTATCTTTTCTAAATTTTAATAAAATATATTTTTCTCTTTTTGTCCTTAAATTTTGGGCAAATACAAACATCTTTTCCTTTAGACACTTTTCTGTAGAACAA